TTTTTTTTTGCACCCTCAGATTCCAGATTTTCAAATAGTTGTGTATCGGCCAAATATTGTCCTATCCTAACAAACCATACATCACTGGAAAGCTTATCCAGCTTTCAGATGATGTATAAATATGTATTTCTAAAAATTTACCCTTATGACTGGTTTTGTGGCCAAGGGTCACAAATTTCATGGAGAAAAAAAGTAACGTAACTAGTAACATAACTAATTACTAATTACTTTTAAAATAAAGTAATCAGAACAGTAACGTGATTACTTTTAAAAGGAGTAATCAGTAATTTGATTACGTTTTCAGAGTAACTTCCCCAACACTGCTCCCGAGATGTGTGCAAACCTGGTGACCAACTACAAGAAACGTCTTACCTCTGTGCTTGCCAACAAGGGTTTCTGCACCAAATACCAAGTCATGTTTTACTTGGGGATCAAATACTTATTTCACTCACTGAAATGCAAATCAATTTCTAACCTTTTATAATGTTTTTTTCTGGATTTTTTTTGGTTTGTATTCGGTCTCTATACATTAAAATAAACCTATTATTATTCATGCATGCATTTTATTTATAATTTATATTTGGTACTTTCCAAATCCATTTGAAATGTGTTTGTAAAATTAACAGGTCTCTGTCATGCAGCTAACATGCTCAACACAACTATAACTAAGAGTTCAGCACTAAAAAAGACTGCAGAAACACAAGCAGCTAACATGCTCAACACAACTATAACTAAGAGTTCAGCACTAAAAAAGACTGTAGATATTGAAGTAAACACGCCTATGCTTTGTTCATTTTTGTTGTACTAAATGCTAAGCATTTAATAAATATACATCTAATAAGTATTTACTAAAGCTTTTATTCCATCCACAGAACGCCATTCTAAATACTCCAGTTGGGAAAGTAGCTGCTCACAATAAGACCATAGATTTTGGACCTGGACTCAACGTGACCGTGGACATTGAGGTGAGGTCACGGCAACGATTATGTGTCTTTTTCCCCTGCTGAAGGAGGGAATGTGTCGGATAACATTACTAAGCACAGAATAGTTCCCAGAGAAGCAAAGCGATGAAGACTTCAATTTCCAGTTGGATTTTTTTCCTTGTAACATAAGCCAATGAGTTCTTCTAACTTGGGTTTTTTTTTTGTTTGCTTCGAAACGCATAAACCAACTCAATGTCTGGAACAGCTGATTTCTGACCCCATCTCTTGTTTTATACTTCACAGAAATCTCCACAATCATACCAGATCACCCCAAAGGGCCAGAAAGTGACTGTTTTAGTGAATCCTGAAGATTATGGCATGGACCAGAACAGCGATGACTCCACAGATGATGAATCTGCGCCCAGAAAACCCATCCCATCCTGGGCTGAGGGTATGTTTATTTGTAGTTACAGTTTACGTTATGTTCCATCTGTGAACTGTAGGGGTATGCAATGGTCCAAATGGTTTTCACCGAATTCTAATTTGAGAATTTTTGGATATACCGTCATAACTCTGTGCATATGTTTATTTTAAAGTATGTACTGTATTCTCCTAATGTGACATGTTTTGTGCAGGTATGCAGTTGCAGCAAGCCATCATGAAGCAATATTACAATCCACTGGATCTCCATTCATATTTTGGAGAACCTGAACCACCCAAACTGGAGGCGATCTTCAGGCGGACAAAACCTCGCTTCTTTAAACGCACGAGCTCTGCCGTCTGGCATTCTCCACCACGTTTGGGAAATCTGGGCATTTAATAAGATGTATATATTTTTTTTTTTCCCTACTTTTGTTCTGTCGTCTTTTTATGTTGTCTTTTTTACTTTGAGCTCACTTTAATAAAGCTTTTAGAAATCTATATATAAGTAGGTTAGACTGGAAAAAAGAGCAGAATGTGTAATATAGATTACACAAAAGGTGATAGGGTTTGACGCCAGTTTCCTGCCGCTGAGGGCAGACTGGGAATGGGCTCGGTTTAATTTACCTGCTTTTTTTTTTTTTAAATGGGACTACCTTGTCACAAATGTATTTAAATGTAGCGTCACATGTTATAAATTTGGAAGTGTATTCCTTTTTAAATTTGGAAGTGTACACGGGAGCTGCTACATATAGAAAATATGGGGATGGCGTTTGCCTACAAAAATTCATTTCACGAAGAGTGTCAGATTTACTCTGGACTGTTAATAAAAGGTATCATTTTGAAGTGTGTGTGTGTGTATAATGTCTCTTATTTATAGTAGTTTGTCATGGATGTGATTTGAAAAGTTAGAAAATTAAATCTGGATGCATCCGTTAAGATTCTTTGTCTAAAAAAAACTTAAGGGAAATTGAAAATCATAAATTGAAATGGTAGCATGTTCTAATTTCTTTGGTCATTCGTGCGTGTCACAGTACCATTTGAGTTTGCTCTAATTTAGGGAAGTATTTTTCTAGTATAGGAAGTTTCTTAAACTTTAAGGAATGTGCTCTTGTCAAACTTTGCCACAACTTTGTTTCTAACTTGATCACTTACACAATGGCAGGAAACCATAATCGGATGGAAATAAAGAGCCACTTAGCCTTTTTGAGATCGACTGCTAGCTTACATTATAAAATCATCTTTTAAGTAGGCCTACCTTTTCAATTATTAAACCGATTTCTGTGATTTTATGTAACCGGATAGAATGGAGTGTGACAGACAACATACCACATTAAAAACATGAAACACTTATAAATTGTAATATTTCTAATTAAACTAGTTCATTTGATAGACAAAGCTGAATTTGTCACATTCTCTCAAACTGGATTAGACCACTTAAAATTCTCTGTATTTTCATTTAGTGATGATAAACTCGTTTTCTATCTTGAAAAGTGTGAAGTCAACCCTAAAAGGGGCAACCTATCCTGGGCTATACAAACATTTGAGAAGCTGTGGGGAGAAGCAGTGAAAGTGTAGGTCTTATTTCTTGGTTTCATTTTGAAAGGGTGTTGTGAACATTTCTATGAGGTGACTTTTGTTTCTACATTCTTTGCTTAGCTCACAGGAAGCATTTAAAACTGCATGGCCGCCTGTAGTAGGAAATCTACTCACCCGCCGATAAAAGTTGATCTAGTTCACATTAGTGTCGTCACGATACCGAAATTTTGACTTCGATATGATACCTGATTAAAATATCTCGATACTACTACTGAACCGATACTACGACAAAACATAGAACAACATGTTAACAATAGGAATTAAATAATAGATGATCCAAATGGAGGTTATAGATATTTTATCTATTTACAAAAAAAAAAGATTAAATAAAAATCACATGCCAGTGCCCCTACTCAGGACTATGGTGAGCAACTTCTGAGCCTACAGGTATAGAGATCTTTGCAACATGGGTAAGTTAGCTAAAAGCCAAATCTTATTAGATGATATAGTCATTTTATTTCACAATAAGTTATAGCATGATATAGTTATTTGTTATTTTATCTTACATCTTACTTTTTATTTTACAACATACTGTAGATGCAAGTAACAAACTAAAGGACAAATATAATAAAACAAAGACACAAATTAAATCAATAGGGCCCTATGAAATCCGTTTTATTTCTTCCCTATTTTTTCCAAATTCTGTTTTTTATTTTCAGTTTAAATTTTTCTGGATTCTGTTTTTTTTCCCCGCTTTTAATTTTTACAGACTCCATTTTAATGGTTTAATGGCAAAAAGCATGTCTAATTAATTGAAATCATGAAACTTACACAATTTAACTGCAATTTCTTAAAAGTTTAACAAAAATCTAATTTTTTATTATTTTTCTGTGAATCTGTTTTCCATTAAGTTTGTGGATTCCATTTTAATAATTTCATTCCATTTTAATAATCAAAAGCATGTCTAATTAATTTATAAAGATTAATTAGATTTTATAAGTAATTTATTATATTATTTATTTCTATGGTAAATATTCCTTAAATATTGTTTTAATAATATTTTAATTAGTAGTAGTAGAACTGTCATTACATTAAATAATATTTCTGTCAAGTTAACCCGAACTTTTACTTTGATGGGTTGCTGTGACCTTTACGTTTCTGTTTGTATATGATATGACAATAGTTCCCTCTCATAGGTTCACTTCAATGCTGCGATGACGCATCGCTATGGGAACAACTCCGGTGTGATGAATGTCTGAAGCCCTTATACCATCACGCCAATTCATTGGCCAAATAGCGCTTAGCACCGCCCCCGACACGTGCGTACGTACGTAAGCTATATCAGCGTGCTGCGTGCTATTTCATCAGATTTAATTTCCTTCAGGAAGCGAATCATCTGTCGCCCGTAGGAAAGCGTTTTTTGTCGTGTTCTCAGCTATTTTTTCTTCAAAGAGCAGTTTACTCCTCTTCAGCAGACACGATGAGCTACAGGAGATGCGTCGAGCCGTGTGACAGGTTTATCGCAGGAGGAGACACTCATAACAGGTGCGTGCAATGTTTGGGCCTACTACACACTCAAGCGGCGCTTAGCGGCCTTTCTGACTGTCAACACTGCGATAGCCTGTGGCTAAAAGTATTGCGCTCGAGGCTCGCGGTCTTCTCTAAGAAAGTAGGCCTCGCGTCTAATCCCCGCCATACTGTTTCTGCGGTTGCCGAGGCGCCGCACGAGACGGTCGCTTGGGGTGACGCATGCGAGCCGGGGCTCATGGAGAGTGAGACGACAGAGAGTAGGGGACCTGCAGGCTCTCTCCATCAGCCCTCCGTGTATGGACTTTGCCCCAGTGCTGGTTAAAGTCTTTTTGCGACCTAGGCCTGATTATGTTCCTACGGTCGCTTCGACTCCATTTCGCTTTCAGCAAGTGGTCTTAGAGGCCTTCTCCCCTGTTGATGCAGGGTCAGATAGTCTGAGTCTCTGCCCAGTGAGGGCACTAAGGATCTATGTTGACCACACAGCTCAGTGGCGTGGATCTGACCAGTTGTTTGTGTGTTTTGGTGGTAAAAGCAGAGGTTCTGCTGTCACCAAACAGCAAATGTCACATTGGATATTGGAGGCTATCTCTCTGGCCTATGAGACGCGTGGCTTGACTTCGCCTTTAGGGGTGCGTGCTCATTCTACGAGAGCAGTGGCTTCTTCTCAGGCCTTCTTCAAAGGGTCCTCGATGGAAGATGTTTGTGCTGCGGCAGGATAGTCCTCTCCTAGCACCTTCATCAAGTTCTACAGTCTGGACATGAGGACGGCTCCTTATTCGCTTGAGCAGACGCTTTCCCTGGTCTTCCAGCTATCTAAAGCTACGTAAGGCATTATGGTATAGCGTTCCCATAGCAATGATGTCATCGCTGCATTGAAGTGAACCTATGAGAAAAACATCTCGGTTATGAATGTAACCTTGGTTCCCTGAATAGGGAACGAGATGCTGCGATGCGGGCCGTTCCGTACCTTTCATAGCGCTTCCTTCGTCAAGTGCAAATCTGATGAAATAGCGCGCAGCACACTAATATAGCTTATGTACGTACGCGCCGGGGGCAGTGCTAAGCACTATTTGGCCAATGAATTGGCGTGATGGTATAAGGGTTTCAGACATTCGTCACACCGGTGGTGTTCCCATAGCAATGACGTCATCGCAACATCTCGTTCCCTATTCAGGGAACCAAGGTTACATACGTAACCGAGATGTTTTTCTCAAAAGTAACAGTAAACTGCTCATGAAGTGACTCTCACAGCAGTTCTAGAGATTATGTTCATTTGTTCATGTACTCACATATTGAGGCGGCAGAGGCTGAAAACACCGCGAGCGTCACAAGCGCTTCGGTATGTGTGTAGTAAACGAAACCGTGTGTCTGCGCCATTGATTCATACAGAGACGTGCAGAAGGTGCAGGATTCATTTTTAAATAGGCAAATTCCATGATATTCCATTTTTATGACTGGATCCCGGGATTCGCGGATGGAATCTGTTTTCCATTAATCATAGGGCCCTAAATAAACAGTGTTTTACTCAGGAAACTCTTATTAAAATGCATTCTTAAAGTACCGGTACTAGTAAAAATGTGGAATCGTACCGTTTTTAAAAGCATGGTATCACGATACCTTTTTAGTACCGGTATATCGTGCAACACTAGTTCACATATTTACACATGTTGGAGGGGACTTACCTGTTTAAAAAGCTGTTGTTCACCATTAGCTTATTAGGTTTACATTAAAATGTTATGAATTAAATGCTTACATTTTTTGTAATCTGTCTCTAAATGTTTGTATCTCAGGGGATACGTCGCCCTTTTAGGGGTATAAATCAAGATATAAAAGCATATATATAGACTGACTCTGATTTTGTCACTTGTGTTTTAGAAAATCAAATCTTTTTGTAATCTTGATAAAACACATATTGTTGGAAAGGTCTGACAGTCAAGGTTCCATATTTGGTAGCTGTTTTGTACTGTGGCAGAAAATGATTGATTTTTGACAGAAAACTACATCCAAAAAAAAAAAGAAGTTCTGTAGAGTATGGGTGTAACCCAGTGGTTATTTTTGGTATAGTGCCCAAACAAAATCTCACAGGAACCACAATTTTGGTGATATCAACTTCAAATTTGGAACATAACTTGGTTAGATTTAAAAGCATGGTATCACGATACCTTTTTAGTACCGGTATATCGTGCAACACTAGTTCACATATTTACACATGTTGGAGGGGACTTACCTGTTTAAAAAGCTGTTGTTCACCATTAGCTTATTAGGTTTACATTAAAATGTTATGAATTAAATGCTTACATTTTTTGTAATCTGTCTCTAAATGTTTGTATCTCAGGGGATACGTCGCCCTTTTAGGGGTATAAATCAAGATATAAAAGCATATATATAGACTGACTCTGATTTTGTCACTTGTGTTTTAGAAAATCAAATCTTTTTGTAATCTTGATAAAACACATATTGTTGGAAAGGTCTGACAGTCAAGGTTCCATATTTGGTAGCTGTTTTGTACTGTGGCAGAAAATGATTGATTTTTGACAGAAAACTACATCCAAAAAAAAAAAGAAGTTCTGTAGAGTATGGGTGTAACCCAGTGGTTATTTTTGGTATAGTGCCCAAACAAAATCTCACAGGAACCACAATTGTTGTGATATAAATTTCAAATTTGGAACATAACTTGGTTAGACATATGGTTTTGATTTCATAGCAATTTTAGAGTGCAACATATTTTATCAAATATTTATATTATATCAAATACAAAAAATAGTATACTACATTATCTTTACTGTAAACTTAAACTTTTATAACTTTTTGATACTTTCTTTTTTTGAAATGAATATACTTCAGCAATAATCTGCTATGTGTCTTCTTTAAAAAGAGACCAAATTTAGGTCTGTATTCCAAAGCACTCAGGAATTACAACCATGTTGTAACAAGCATTAATAAACAAGTGTTCTGTTTTCAGTAAATAGTCCCAAAAAAGCCACATATCCTGGGGGATACAAACATTAAAATAAAAAATAAGAGTCAGGTTTCCAAAAAAAAAAAAAAAATCATGAAATGTTATTTTTTGAGTTCCAATAAGATGGAAAATAGCAATAAATTAATTTTCTGATGTCTCTTTGTGGTTTTGCCATTTTTAGAGTTAAATTATTCAATAAAGACATGATAGTGACATGGACACCAATTGCATACTGAAATGACCATCAAAAAATGTGTACATCTGGCTGTAAAATGTTTTGATAGACGCCTGAAAGGATATGTTGAGAAAAAGCATTTGCTTAATGAATAATTATATTAGGGTCTGCCCAGAATCCCCACGACAGTTCTGGTAAATTGTGTCAGAGGAAGGATTACGGCCAATACGCATGCGCAGATGCTCCCAGTTCCTCTCCTCGTGAGCGCACAAGCCAGTGGAAAGATTCGTCGTCACACAGTCTACGGTCGTCACTGACGTCGTAGCGCAGCCAAGGGACAACAATCACCGAGAGCACGCGCTGAATCAACACGAAGGTACGCTAGCGATTAAAACACGCGTATTATTAGAGTAAACAGAGCTGTTTGCGTTATGATTGGTCGCTGGTTTATTGTAGCTACTCGTTTTGCTTTATAATAACAAGTGCAGTTGACGGTTACACACCCAATATAGTCCCGCTATTTAAAGCGTCTGAGAATTTACACGCGATTAGCGGCCTGGTATTGTTTAGATTGATTATAAATTGGCATCTCGACACTACACATATTTACATATTATATACAATACATTCCTCGCTTATGTTTTGAATAATTAAGTAATATGTTGTATAAAAGGAAAATAAAATAAATAAAAAATGTTAATGACGATGTTATATTGAATTTAGTTTGATATGGTCCGATTTATTGAATACTTAGATTTAATTCTTGATGTAAAGCCATGAATACATGTCGGAAATGGCCTCTGAACAATGAGACATAACGTTACACACTCACACTCACTACTGTTTTCATTCCTGTCAGTAACGTTACACGTATAGTCACGCAGGTACTAGGATACTCAGTTGAACGTGATAACTGGTCTGTCTTAACTTGTTAAAGGGGTCATATGATGCGATTTCAAGTTTTCCTTTCTCTTTGGAGTGTTACAAGCTGATTGTGCATAGATAAGATCCCTGGAGTTGCAAAGACTAAAGTCTCAAATCCAAAGAGATATTCTTTATCAAAGTTAAGACTCTGCCACACCCCCCTAAAACGGCTCGTTCTAACACGCCCCCACATATCTAAGTCACTATGTGGAAATATTTACATAATGCGGCCCAAATGTGCACGCAAAGAAAGAAGGTGTGGTTTCAGTAACCGCAGTTAGTTGTTACACCAAATACACAAAATAATGATCTTTAAAAAAGCATCATCCCTTTAAACTAAATAATTATTGTGAAATGATACAGGATGACGCCACGCCTTTTGTTAACATAAATCTGAGCACTCTAGGTGTGACCGGGGCTAGTTGTCACGTTTTTACTCCAGTAAAATTTTGTTAAGATTGGATTATTTTTTAGCCAAATTTTATACAGACACAAACTATATACTCTCGACTCCAAAACACTATAAACGTTTGCATTGTTATTACCATGGGATACAAATGGAAACGGTTCAAATTGACCCTGTAGCAGGGAATGTTGTCACAATGGGCAAAAATATAAGGTAACAAAATTTCAACCATTGTTTTTGACCAACATAGTGTAATTAATAAATTGTATGATTTCTAACATTTTTATAAACAAGTGACAACTTGCCCCACCCTAACACTTATGGAAAATGCCCTTGTACTGAGATTGCAGTTCAGTTAAAGGCCTTAATTTCCCTTCAAATCTTTCATTAGGTTTGAATGTGTGTCAGTGTAGTTTTAATGTGTTCATTTGTTACCCTAACCATTATAAAAACATGACAATGCTGGAATTTTAATTTGAAAGGTGGAACCATTTGAAAACTGAAATCATGCTAAAGAAAACAAGCTTTTATATAATTGGAAGTTCGACTCAAAACTTTTTAGTTACTGAGATATAGTCCCTGTGTCATATAGCCCCTGTCTCTTTTATATGGATTTATACACTGACACACTTTTAAAGAATATGAAATTTTCCTAAATTGAATTAGTCTGTATCGTTAACATATGTCATGGTAATCAGGAAAAGTTCATGTAGCTCAATGAGGATAGTATAATTTTGTGCTTTATGAATAATTTCTTCATTTACTTTCTTCAAGAGGTTAAAAGTAAAACACCTCGTTCATTCTGGACCACCCAGCTTTCATTTACCTACTGCATATTCTAGAGCTTTAAATAGTGTCTTACATGCATATATTTACACAATTTAGTGAATGTGTTTATATGTACTACGAAGTTGAATAACCAGATTCATATGAATGAGACAATCCTCTTTACAAGTATGATGCAGTTTGAAATGGCTAGCTGTCACAGATACGTTAATTTGAGATGCCGTTTAAGGCTCCGATCAGACAGAACACGTTTTTTTGCAGTGAGAGGCACCTTTTTTAAATTGTTTGCTATAGCAGAAAAGTGCCCGTTGTCTTTCACGTTTCTTTTTCCATTGTCCAATCGAATGAATCGAGAGGTGGGTCTTCCGTTGTGACGAAAGTTTACAGTTGCTTGGAAAGTCTGTAGACTGCAATGGTGGAGGAGAAACTTGTGGTGGCTGTCACGGGTCATCCGGAGCTGTTTCTACTAGAGATCGACCGATATATCGATTTACCGATATTTTCCCTGAAATTTAAGCATTTTACCATAATCGGATATCGGTTTTGTAATATCGGATTCACCGATAAACGCCGCCATCTTGTGGGTGTTTTGACAATTGCGCGCAGGATCGCCATAGCAGCGCATCTGAGGGGAGACGAGACAATAACAACGGCATGGTGCAGGAACTTGATTTGCTGTAGTTAGTAAACTTTATTTAACATAACAGCCATTTATGCACAAATTAGATGCATTACATAAATGATATGTAGTTTATGCAGCTTGGCTCTAAGAAATAGAGACCAACTCACGGAGTCATGTAAAATAATCCGTCAAGTCCTCTCCCATTAAAGACGTAACTTTGCCTGAATTAAATATGCAGCCATGAATGAGCGCAGATTGGAAATAAAAGCGCTGAATTTAATTCTCTCTCTGTTGTATGCTCATCGTTAGTCTCGTGAAGCCGCTTTCATATTGCTGTTCACTCACCGGGTTGATGCGGTTGATGCTCAGGAAATGCTCCAGCACGGCCTCCGCATGTAACTTTTAACAAGATTCACTTGTTATAAAAAAATAAAAATAAATAAATAATAATAATAACAACAAATATCATACAAAGCTAAAAAACATTGTCAAAAGCTAGAGAAAACAAATGAGTTTTAAGCGAACTCTGAAAAACACCCAAAGTTGGAGAAGTTCTAATAGACAGAGGAAGGGCATTCCAGAGCCTAGGAGCTGCCACAGAGAAAGCACGATCCCCTCTACATTTTAGACGAGATCGCGGAACCATTAGGAGTAGTTGTTCATTTGAGCGCAGAGATCTGCTGGATTGACAGACACTAATTAAATCAGTAACATAGTCAGGTGATAGACCATGCACAGCCTTATAAACATACAACAACCTGAAAAACACCCAAAGTTGGAGAAGTTTATTTATCTATAATTATATATTAACTATAATTAATAATTATCTAAGTTTATTTATCCAGAGAATATTATTCAGTGAATTAACATTATCCAGTGAATTATTCTTGACTCTGTAGCTATTAAACAGCTTATAAAACTACTAAAACTGTAGTTTAAAATTCAATATCGGTCGATCACTAGTTTCTACTAATATGACAGTTTACTTAATAGCAAACCAAAGATTTAGACCGCTCGCGCTATAATCCTTGATTAGACTGACAGGACAGCTGATTTAGTGGTTGCCTAGAAACATAAACAAACACTGCTCTTTTCTAAATTAAAAAAGTCAACCAAAAAAAAGGCAGTGCGGTGCTCCTCACGTTTTCAGACCTGAAAAACGCGTTCTGTCTGATTGGGGCCTAAAAGCAAAAATATTTTGGTCAGTGAAGACCTTTCTGTTTCTGCTGGTCATAACCTCTCTCTTGACTTTCTGGCAGTGGTAATGTGTGTAAATGACATGTGAATCTAATGCCGGGTTCACACTGCATGACTTTCAAAGTCATTGGATTGCTGCTGTTCTCACACCGCATGACTGTCTGGGGTATCATGTAGCCTAGTTGCTGTTGTGTGCACACTACACGACGGATCAGCAACAGGGGGTCACACATTACACAACTTTTCATTAGGAAGAATCGCAAACAACTCCACTTCGTTTCACAACCAAACACAAACAAGAATTGAGACAGGAAATAATGTAAGATCACACGAGAGACAGGCATTCTCACACAAGAATGGATTTATTTCCGTCAAAAACTGTGAAGGAGAGAGTGGTTGCTTGCTGATGTTCTGTGGCAGGTCTATTATGACTTCTCCCCCTGAACTTTCCCTTGCCCTGTATCTTGTTCTCTCATTTGTTGCAGGTCGTTGCCGATGTCATTTCCAGTTAGGGCTGTGCAAAAAATCGAATGCGATTTTCATGCTCATCTCGTCAGTAAAGCCAGTTCTGCGATTAGCTTGTCAGTGATCTACGGCTCTGTGTAGTAAATGCCGCTCCATCTGAAAGCACGTGCTGGAGATTTATTACTAATCACAGAACCGGCTTTACTGACGAGATGAGCATGAAAATCGCATTCGATTTTTTGCACAGCCCTATTTCCAGTCAAAACACATTTCACACTGCAAGACTGTGAGTTGCCGACAGGTCCAGATATTTAGCATGCCAAATATCTCTCGGGCATCTGAGACACATTGGCGCTTCTCTCAGATTGCGTCATTGATAACACATAATGTGCGATTGTTACTCATGTGCGACGAGCACCGATTTGCCACCATTTCGAGCATTTGTCTGCGATTTCCACAAAACTGTCGGCGAGTGAAAATCGGGGCTAAAATTATGCAGTGTGTGCCTGGCATAATTGAAACGCCTCAAATGACAATTTTGAAAATGATCGCTTTTCATTGAACCTCTCTCTCTTTTTCAACAGAAATGGGTCGCCTAACAGTACTGTTACTCTGTCTGGCTCTTGTGGTATCAGTTGTGGCCAGACGAGGAGGTGGCGGTAAAGGCGGTTTCAGTTGGGGAAAAAGTGGGGGAAGCTCAAACAAAGGTGGAAGCAGCACAGGAAGCCAAAGTGGCAGCAGCAGTAGCAATAAAGGCACTTCATCACATGGGACACACTCGTCCCCTGGAAACTATCCTCGCCAACCTCAAGCACCAAACCAGAATCCACCCCCCTACCCTGGTACTGGAGGCGGGTATCCGGGGCAGGGCAGATATCCACCAGCAGGCTCTAACCCAGATCAAGGATACCCTAACCAAGGAAGCTACCCAGGGCGTGGTGGTTACCCGGCCCAAGGTGGTTATCCACAAGGTAACTACCCAGGGCGTAGTGGTTACCCAGGACAAGGTGGTTACCCAGGGGGAGGATCTTATCCAGGAGCAGGTTCATACCCCAACAGGTACCCTGGACAAGCCGGAGGATATGGAAATCCTTACCCAGCAGGTGCAGGTGGATATCCAGCAGTGGCGCAATATCCTTACTGGAACCCCAACAACAAAATCATGAGCCCAGGCTACGGCGGCAACTACGGTAGTTATGGGTACGGCGGCAGATCACCTTTCGCCCAGTCAGTGCATAACATGGGTATGGCCCCTTCATATAAATCAAAGGGGTTTGGCAAGCAGGCTATTTTGGCTGCTGGGGCTGGGGCGGTGGCTGGTATGGCTTTGGGATATGGCCTCGGAAGTTTCCCTCGCCCCCGTTTCAATTTCCACAGCCCGCAGGAGGAATACTACTACAATCACTACATGTACAGACGTTACGGCCAAACTCCCCCTGACAGTAACGTGAACGGAAACTCTAACACTCAAGGTGGAAATCCAGGCAATGCAGGATCGGCCTCTGCGGGACAAGGAAACGTTAACCCTCATGACATCTTCCAGAATCCTCCACCGCAGTCCTATGATAGCTTCATGGACAAGTGTGTGAAGAGGACAGACTTGCTCCGAGAGAAACCGGAAGGAAGATCGAGGAGATCCACTGACTTTGTTGAGGCTCAAGCAGCAGAAGTAGCCGATGATCCTACTGGTGCTCAAGAAAATGCCACAAGCAACAACAGCACTGCAGAAAGAGACACATCCGGAAGCTCTTTATTTGTAACCTCAAAGCCGCCCGAAACACCCAGTCAACCTCAAAAGCAGACCCATGAAAGAAAAGCAGAAGCTGACGGTGATGAGGATGACACTGTTAGCATTATGGAGATCGGCTATCCTGCGCTCATTGAGCAAATGAAAGCACGACGTTGTGTCGAGCTGTACATGGTCTATGCGGAACAGCATGCAGAAAAACAGGTGCAGGATCGCAGTAACATAGATGATAAAACCAGCAATGGTAGCGGTGACTTACCTGGACCCTTTGGCCATGGAGTCATGCTACTCTATACTAGCATTCTGTCGCTCATCTTCATTTCCCTTCTACACTGATATTCTGGAAAAGGTTACACATAAAGCCATTGAGTCAGACTGAAAAATGGACCGTTCTCACCCATCAGATGTTATCTGAGGATCTGAGGACCTTTATTATCTCCAATTTAAACAGAATTGTGCATGGCATTGGCATTTGACTTATTGTTTTCCACTGGCAACAGCAATTACAACAAACCCATTATTATTTTGTTGTAACATGGAATGGCGACTTCCAGCTCTGTTCTGATGATGGCACTCCTACTTGTGTAGTACATATGGAAAATTTTGTGTTGTAATGTTATCTCTGATTGTTTGGACTGTTAATTTAGGCATTAACTTTCTTCTGATGTATTTATTTCTTTTAAATTATTATCATAGACATAATTTTCATGGTTTTTCACAGTCCTCCACTGTTAGTTTTGTTATTTTTACTTTTTAGAGGCCGTTCACAATGAACATGTTTTTGCGTTCTACTCCATTGTTTTTCTGTATAAACATGCACTAGATGGACATTATTGACCATTGACTCTTTTGCCGTAAAAACACATAAACACTGCATTTTTAGAATGCAATGCCACATTAAAAGACATTCAAAGACCTTGTGTTTTTTCATTCCACGTTCCACGTTTTTAAATGAAAAAACACTTTCTGTGTGAATGGCTTCTTAGTAAATGTTTTTGTGATCATAACTGTTTGCTTTTTAACTCAATATGTACAATAATAGCCCCACTTGTCAGTTTAATTCATATCAGATGTACATGTACTATGACACTCAAAGAGATTAGATAAAACAGCATGATTTATATAAAGCTGGATCTTTATCAGTAGCTTGGTGCTGTGGTTTCTCTGAATATTACTGCTGAACATTCAAGTAGATTTATCAACCCAGCTTGGCACTTTACTAAATAATTTATATAGAAGGCCTGTGGCGACCACTGGATGACCAGTAGAAGGCAAAGCTTAACCCCTTTATTGATGCTCAGCGGCATATGAATTGTTATGCCTTTGAGATGTTGTGAATGTTGAAAATGTGTATAATGTTACCATCACTGGGATTAAAGTGATTAAATGCACCTTAGTTCCGTGTCTGTCTTTTTCCATTTGATATTTTTTAGAAAAACCATAGGATGAAATTTTTTTTGCCCTCATTCTTGAAAACTCTAAATTTGGCCTAGTGATTGTTTCAGTTTGTTCCAGTTCATGTTAACGTTTCATTTACTCCTTTTTTACAGATGTCACTTGATGTCCAATGTAAAATTTGGTCCCTGAAGCAAAACCAGTTTTTCCTATTATGGTGTCAGGTAAGCTGAATGTATACCTGTGTTCAGTGTGTTGTGATCGTTTCTCTTGGAGGAGTCGTTTTGTTGTTTTTGTCTTTGATAACCATTCAAGTGTACTTGATATCCCCATGTTGGCACATGCAAGATATTAGCTAACTAATTCGTGACTTAATTATACCCTAAGTGGAAAACCGTGAGCCTGTTGTGGTTATAAGACTATGAGGAGTGACAAAATCCAAATACAGGACTAATTGTGTTAAAACATGCAAAGCTGAAAACTGTCAGAACCATTTATCATCACCAGTGTTTTGGAATACAAATTAACCCTTGGGAAGAAGACTTCAACACAACAGTGGATCACTGGAGATGAAAATCCCTTGTTTGGTGATCATTACTGTGGTTAATCAGGCAGATACACACAAAAACAAATAGAGATCACAATATGTTTCTGTTAATGATGCAATTTGAGACATCACACATGCCACTGAGATCACACCAGACACATGCCACAAACAGGACACTGGCAGTGATAGAAGACTAAAGACCAGCAAAAGATTGGACAGTAAACACACATTTTTCCAACTTAATTGAAAATGATTGTGTGAAATAAAAGGATTAGTTGACCATTGTTGGTTCTAATTGGTTAAGGTTATAAATATCCAAGATAAAGTCTTCATGTTGGAGTCTTGATGTTAAGGTATTATGACCTTACAAAACGGCATAAATGGATGACAATGTAATCTCCACATATATCCAGTCCTGCACTCCCATAATCTCCTTGATGAACCCACATTGATACACTGTAGAGCAGTTTGTTTGAAAAATCATCTCAGTAAATGCAACTATCATATGTGGCCCATCTAGTGGCTCCTAGAGCAAGGGTTGCCAACATCTGGAGGGCTACTTTTCTGCAGACTTCAGTTGCTCCAACACACCATTCGTATAATGCTAAGCACTGTGATAACCAACTGATCCAGAATGCAGCAGCCAGAGTGGTCTTCAACTAGCTGAAGAAAGCTCACGTCACACCTCCCTTCATCAGCTTGCACTGGCTGCCAATAGCTGCTTGCATCAAATTCAAAGTACTGATGCTTGCCTACAGGACAACCACTGGCGCTGCACCAACTCGCTAGTTCAGACCTACGCACCCTCCAGAAGCTTGCCTTCTGCAAGTGAACGACGCCTCGTGGTGCCATCCCAAAGAGGCACAATATCACTCTCACTGACCTTTTCCTGGACTGTTCCTAGCTGGTGGAACGACCTGCCTATCTCAATCCGAGCAGCTGAGTCTTTAGCCATTTTCAAAAAACATCTAAAGACACATCTTTGTTGCCATCATCTGACCAATTAATACTAGCACTTCCCTATTCTATTCTGTTCTAATTTATTTATATATATAAAAAAGAGACACCTTGCTATGTTCACTGACTAACTGAGACTTGTCACAGCACTTGTATATTGTTGCTCTCTCGTTGGTCTGATTGCTTCTACTTTGTAAGTCGCTTTGGATAAAAGCGTCTGCTAAATGACAATGTAAATGTAAATAACCTGTTTCAAGTGTGTTTGATTAGGGCTGTAGCTAAACTGTTAAAAACAGTATGTGAAAAAAATTAGTGTGTCTGAATTTATAGTATTCATAAAACTGTGGACGAAAAGTACCCAGATGTACTACTTCCGGCCCAATTCTGAAGTGCGCATTTTAATGGACACTTAGCTATCACATGAGACTGTGAAGACAAGAAACTGACACTGGTAGGTCACATGACTATGACAGAATGGCAAATGTAGTAGACTGGATTTCATTCATACTACTCACATTCATACTATATAGAACATACTTTCTACCAATCGCAAAGTAATTTTTCTTGAAAAGACGTACATACTCATGCGAGTTCAGGAGCCCTAGAGTGATTAGTCACAGCATTTAGGTTCAGGTGACTGGCTCAAAACAAAGCAGCAGAACTGGGCAGAGATGGTTTATATATTACATAGCCTACTTCAAAATCACAGGGAAGTAGTAAAACTGTACAACTCTCGCTGGAATTTTTGCTGCTACAATGTAGGCTAGATGAATATGAGTCCTCTATTCCTAATACTGCTTTCTCCAGTGATAAAAAATAGTCTTGTCTGAATCAGGAGGGAAATATGCAAATCAAGAGCACCATTTACAAGTGAAAACATTCCAAAACAGTTCTAAACAATTGGATTTTGATGTGAGGAAAAGTTATTATGAATTATGGACTGGTATTTTAGCCAGAAGAGACTATTTAAGTTAATCAGAATGAGCTTTATTGCCAGGTATGTTTACACATACGAGGAATTTGTTTTCGTGACAGAAGCTTCCACAGTGCAACAGAATGACAGTGACAGAAAAAAAACATAAATAATATATAGAACAAGTAAATAAGGAATGCAATATACAAATTGACAATTGTATGTACAGGTATATTACAATAGATAGTTTTGTATGTACAGGTATATTAGTGCAAAATTGAAATGTAGACTAAGTATGTGTGTTAGATAAGTGTGTAAGTGTATAAATAGTGTTGTGTGATCCACAGTTATTGCCAAGTGTTCATGAGATGGATGGCCTGAGGGAAGAAACTGTTCCTGTGTCTGGCTGTTCTGGTGCTCGGTATGGCAACAGTTCAAAGAGGAGAGTGTGCTGGATGTGAGGGGTCCAAAGTGATTTTGCCAGCCCTTTTGCTCACTCTGGATAAGTACAGTTCTTGGAGAGAAGGGAGGGTTGTACCAATGATTCACTCAGCAGTCCGGACTACCCTCTGAAGTCTTCTGAGGTCAGATTTGGTA